CAAACCTTGTGACCACTCGTCATCACGTGGAGACATTGAGCGCTGGCAAAGCACTTCCGTTCGCTAGCAATCCGAAATGCTTGACAATTGTCAAGCTCTGCAAGTCACGAAGCATCGTCCAGCACTATGAGCACAGCAATATCTGTGGTATTACCGTGGTCCTGATCACATTAGTGCATATTGTTGCTAGACATTTGTTCCACGTGTGTACATTCGTTTACACCTTGCAGATATTGCGTTTGCAACTAAGTAGAGCAGTCGAAGTCGCAGTATTTGTCTTCTTTTATGCGTAGATGAAAAGATTTAGGTTGACATAATGTTTTGGGGTCCCCTAAAATACGCCGATCAGCTGCTTCCAGCTCTTTTTGAAGTCAATGTACCTCGGTAATTTATGTACAACAAGTGGAGTTTCCCCTACCACACCAAACCAACAACTGGCTAACAAGTAACTGCCATGCAATTTTCATACCTACCGTAGTTTTCAGCTATTACGACTTACAGCGCGAATAGTTTGTGGTTGTACTACTCTCTAATAAGTAGTAGAATGTTAACATACATATTTGCACTTTTCTTGACTGGAGACGTTTAAAGTCGGCGAAAGTGCGCGACGATAATAGAATTACCGTGCCACTTCACATCACATCGGTTGACAACGTTCTCTGTACTCCAGTGACTTTTGTCCCCGACAGCTGCTTAAATTTTCATTAGATCGAGAATTTACACATTACTCAAGTGCTCGAAACGAACGATCCGTCCACTTTTTGTCGCTCTGGTGTTGGTGACCTCCCGACCAAAGTTCGTTATAATAAAATGTCCTTCTGAAATCGTGGTAATCTACAGTTGCTTCAAATTTCCCTGACGGTCGTTCTGCGGAACCTTCAGGTTAACGCAATGACTCACTTCGGCCTATGTCTTCTAGCCAAGTCAAGCAAACCTTTGTGCACCCAGATGGATGCATTTTCAGCATTTTACACTATGTACCACAAATGTGATAAAACAGCATCAGTAAATATGGGAATTTTGCAATTTTTAAACAGAAAGGGCAAAGGGTGCACAGATGTCAAATAAGTAATCAGTCCTGCATCTTTGCGAAACGACCGCATATTGATAGAACGAGTCATAAGATTCTTCATCCATTTGTCGAGGCCAACCTTTGTTAAAACGTTTATTGATAGCTCGTTTTTATTTGGATAAAAGTGCGGTGTCTCAGATACTTTTTCAAAGAACCGGTGGAATTAAGCTGTGTCAGTGACCTTAAACTTGTTCAGCCAAAGAATTGATCAAAATATTCTTACAAAATTGATATGTTTGTAGTAGATAGTCCAAAGGACGATTTTGTGGGGGAGTGGCAACGGAAGATACTTGGGCCCCTCCATCTGCTCAGGCTGGGTCGGATGGTTTGAACTGGGTTCATGACTTCTGTGGTCCTGAGCACTGGGAGTCATTGTTGTAATGGGCTCATCTGATAGCTGCTGAGGTCGCGGGTTTTGACTCCGTGTGTTTATGGCCGATATTCTCACACGCGTTGGGTCTAGATACTAGTAGTTTTTGTCATGACAGCGATGAATGGCCACTTCTACCATTTCAGTCGTACACTGTTTCTATTACCGTGTGGTTTCTTGTATATCTTTTGCTAGAAACATTGTCGAGCGTTGTAGTTGCGACTCTGTTATGGAGAACGTACGTCCAAGGGCAATGTTTCCGATTACTCACTTTTGGTCCGGATAATCGCGTCCGTGTGAATTCTCATACCCCGACACCTCCCCATTTACTCCTCGCATTCCTGGGAAACCCACATGGTCAAGTATGACATTCAGCTGTGCAGGGTGTGACGTGTTTTAATTGACAAGACATCGCCAGCCTAGGTATATAATCTAAGCTTTGCAGCTTCGTCGAGTCCTAAAAGCATTCTGCCGATGGCCAGACTTCTCTTGGGCTTGCATACCTCACTGATGAGAGTTGAGTTGCGCGCACGTATGAAACAATTCCGGTCGATTGTGTCGTTCGCTTTTAGGGATCGTATTCGCGTCGATCGTATCGTTCATTCCGACTAATCGAGCCAATGCAATTGGGCCGGTATAGCAGACTAACTGTCTGCCAAAATGAGGAGCTGACATTCCATGTAAGATTATCAGAAGACGAATGTTGTGGCATGAAACTGCCACGTACATTCAACTAACAAGAGATTCAAAACAATGTCACATGAAATCAATTGATGGTCAAATGTTTCCCGACTGCTACTTTGCACGCTACCATATCAGACTTAGTGTAACTGTCAGTTATTTCTGAATACCGAGTGATGAACGCAGTCAATGAATAACAATGGCCTCGAGAACCTTGAGCGTGATTGCGCATCGGGGGTTGACCTGGTGACCGATGTTCATCAGATTTCTTGTGAATCCTGTGGTAGCATTGCTACTCAATTCCCATAATGCAACCGTCGCGTGTTCCATCCGCTTGCGGAGGAGCCACTTGGGAATGGGCTCTTTGATTTAAGCACAGATTTTGATCAACGCGCCCCACATTTCTGTCCCAACAGCTACATGTGGATTTGTATAGGCAATGGGGAAGTTCGCAGCTTCGACATCAGTGTCTTCACTGAGCACACTTAAGCAGCGGTATTGTGCACATGAGCAAGCGTATCTCTGTTGCATTACATGCCTTTTTCATTAATATCTTTATTCGTTTAGCAGTGATTCGTCTTCTGACTTTCCTATTTGTAACTATATAAGGGAACTTCACCATTCAGATTTGACATTTATTGAGCAATATTTCTTTCCGGTGTGGTTGCACTGTGCTCCAACGACCCAACCAACCGGGTGAAGTGGCATATGTGAACCAATTTGGGTGCATCTTCTGTCGCCACATCCTATTGGCCAGTATATCGTTCTAAACTGCATAGTCTTCCGGAACTTCAGAGCAACACCCCGTTGATACCGCTCAGCTGATGAATTCGGCCACTGCCACATCTCCCTTTACCTACATTGGCTCATGTGTTACTTGTGCTTTATAGCACATTGGTCCGACCTGGTGGTCTTGGCTCTGACCGCCTAAATCGCGTGGCACTCCACTAACCCATGTTTTATATGACTAGTATTTGTATCCACCCTGCTGAGGACAGTGAAATAGCATGTACCGTGAGGATACTGCCGATCATACCTAGATGGTGGTACAGTACCATCTACTCTTTCGACTCGTTGCAGTATCTTTGCACTGTGAATGGCGTCGGTTGGAAACATGGGAGAAACTGTGCTTGTTTCAGGCACTGCTTGGAGTCACACAATTCCAGATGTTTCTGTTTATCACGCTGATTCCACTGATATATATGCACACATTTTTTCGTTGATTTCGGAACTGAAGTCTTAGATCATACGTCACATGTGAGAGGTTTTATAAAACTTCAAAAAATCTGTATTGGTCAGCTTTTATACTCCATCAACAGAACTCTGACCTACCTCTTCTGTGTTGCGTGGACGGAGTCAAAGTCAAATGTGGAATACTTTTATGATTTGGTGTTCGTATCAGATTTGCTCCCGGTTCTGTAAAATTTGGACCTTGTGTAACATCAACGCAGACTAGTTCGTCGACTCTTCTTCCACCGGTCGTCTTCAGACTCGTCTCCTATCCCTTTCTCCTCCGCCCATATCATAGCTCTTTTGCTTCTGTTGTGCACAGATATTCCTTGGCCAACCGGTTGCTCCAACCAGACTTCACCTACTCCGTCCGACACATCAGAAGCGTTGTCTCCGGAGGCGGTAGAGTTGATCACATCGCTCCTGTCTCGTTCGCCGGTTGATCGGCTGGCAGCTGCTAGCCACTTACGAACCAATCGTTTCCTGGCTCCAGTTGGCGATTGGACGCGCTTGAATGAGCTCGAGATGCCGTTTGTGCCGTATCCAGAGGATTCCACAGATACTTCCTACTTTCAAGTAAGCTTACCTGCACTAGTTTTTATTCTGTGATGCACGAATAAATATGGCGATTGATTTTCCATTTTCTGTTTAAACTAGAGATTGTGCCCAGCTCTCATTGCAGTAACTTACTGCATTGAATTCATGGTCTTTAGGATTTACATCCATCTCCTCACAACCTTGAATTGTTTCCACCCTACCTACTTTTTCCAGCCGACTGTCCCATAAACATTCGGCATCGCATCTAGGTCATCAATCTGATATGCTCCAAACTGTTCGTCCGGAAAACGGATCCAAGCAAACTATACAGACAGTGGCTTTTGGCCGATGATGATTGTGCCATATAGCAATGCTTCTTGTCTGACAAGGAAAGCCACTGTATTTCCTCGACGCTGGCTCTACTAAACTATTATTTACCTCTTTTACTATATCATCCGGATGTATTTTCTCTGAATATGAATCCCGTAATTAGGCAGTACATCCCCACAAACATTCTAAAGTATTGCCTGTTTGAACATAGTCGCATACAACTAAACACATGGTGGAGAGGAATATGTCTTACCCTCAGCACCTATAGCCACAATATCAATCTAGGTGTGTTTGTGTACATTTGTCCAAGGGTGCCACGTTTCGCTCCCACCTAACACATGAAATCGCTCAAGCCAGTCATTTGGTAGGTTTTGTTCAGTGGGAAGACAATTGCCACGGCCCCTCGTAGAACTTGGCTAGACATTGTTATGCAATGTCATTATACACGTTAGCTAGAGGTGTGAAACACCTCAGCTACCGTGCCGCAATACTGTTATAATCTTCTCAATAGACGCGATTCCGAAATTGACACTTTACTGCTCCACAAAACTAGCCCAGCCGAAGGAAACAGCAGAACGCCAATAACCTTGACAAAATAACGTATTAATCGCCGTCATCGGCGGATAGCGGCCTCCGGTCGGTTATTTTTGGCTGTGTTGACAAGATCACTGCGTTTGCTTTCTGTGTTCATTGGAAGTATTTCGTGGAAATTTAGATACAATTCAGTTTCATTCCTGATTCTGAAATTTCCGACCAGCAATACTTGTGTTTTCATCGCTTGGTTTCGGCCATCTTGCTATCGCCATTTTCTCCTTCAATTGGCCGCCGTCTTGTTTTCGGATTATTCACAATGCCGAAGCAGTCATCCTTTGGTACTTGCTCCAAGCTATTCGGATACCGTGCAAATGCACTCACGTGTGTTTTGTGCCAAGTTAAATACCACATTTCATGTGTTGGAGTATCAGTTGAGCATTTTCATCGTCTTCGCGAGATCCAACACGACTTCGACCAAACTATATGTGAAAATTGCTGAAATAAGGTACAGCCAGGAAGATTAAAGCCGAGGTGTAGGCCTCAGCGTTTCGTTGCGAACAGCTCCGTGTGTTTGGCCCAAGAACTTAGCCCGAACAGCCTCCAGGTTTCAGCTCAGTCGTCCTCCTCTACCCGTGCAAACTCACCGACACGAAGTCCAACTGTTGTGAGAAGCCCAGTTGCACCTTGCATAAATTGTTTACCTTTGTTGTGTCCAACGGACACTGATGTCCCAGCAGATAAAAGTCTGAGTGCTGAAGGCCAGTGGAAGGAACGAAGGACGAAATTACGAAGGGATGTTGGGCGTTTAAGTTCTGTAAGTCAACAGTTAGCCAAACCACATGAGGCTGGTAGTATACTTCGCCCTGCAATGTCAACCTCGTCCGACCAGAGGCATTATAATCTCGTGATCTTTTACGCACCGGAGTCCAGTGATCCATCACCCCAAGTGCGCTACGATCGCGATATCGAGTTTTTACGGGGTCTAATTGACAGACTCCTCCACGCTGGTGAGGACTCGATCAAAGTGAGGCAAATTACCCGTCTTGGAAAGCAAGATGGTCAACAAAATCGGCCTATGAGAATCACTTTTGTGGACGAAGCCAGTCCAAGACTGATCATGTCTCGCCTAAGTAGGCTGAAAGGTTTGAAGATCCATGTTCGTCCCGACCTGGACCTAGTGGACAGGGAGCGGCTCAAGTCTGCCATCATGGAGCTGAAAAGACGCACTGGTGAGGGAAAAACAAATCTACCTATCGTAAATTTTCGGGTGTTTTTCAACGATCTGCGAATCAGGATAAACAGGCTGCTCACGCTTCAAGCACGCCCGGCGGCTCCTGCTGCGGCCTGCGAGTAGCCTTCACAAACGTTTGCAGTGTTATGAATAAGCGCGATGAGCCTTGTTGTTTCGTTGCGTCTGAGCGGCCAGACGTAGTGGGACTAGCAGAGACATGGTTGCATGCAGAGTTATACACCCAAGTACTTGAACTCAACGGTTACTCGTGTTTCCGATGCGATAGACTAAAGAATGCCCACGGTGGTGTCTTTACATCCGATCTTCCTTGTGTGGGAGACTTGTGAGCACCCACCGAAGTGACGATGGTTTGTGTGGGTTACTGTGGTGCTCCATCCGCCTCAGGCGCGGAGAACTGCTCGTGGGCGCGTAGTTTATCGCAGTCCTCTGAGTCGTTGTTTGGATTGGCTGCCCATTCTTCGGACCCACATGAATCGTCCACACTTTCTACTTATGGGCGATTTTAACTGTCCTCGAATACGATGGCCTGATGTGCATTTGATGCCTGGACATAGTGAGGTTGAAGCAAAGTTCGTGGATTTGGTACTTGAAATTGGTGCATCGCAACACATATGCCAGCCAACACGCATAACGACCCGTTCAACCCCGTCCTGTCTCGACCTGATTTTAACTAGCTACGAACACCGAGTGCATGACGTTAGGATCCTGGAGCCCCTGGCTACAAGCTACCGTTCAGTGCTCATAGCTGATATGGAATTATCTTTGCCGTATTCACATCCGCTGCAACCAGCTCCCAACTACTGGAAAACGGACTTCCATGGTCTACTTCGAACCGCGAGCCAACTGAATTGGTCTCTGTCAAGAGTTGCATCTGTGGAAGATTGTTGGGTATTTATAAAACGGAGATTGACATCATTCTGTTCCCAATTTGTGGCATTGAACTATCGGCAGATTGGACCGATTAAGCCTAATTGGTTTGACAATGAGTATGCAAACTTGGCTCGGAGGCGGCGCAGACTGTGGGAGGAATTCCTCCTATCTGGCTCTGCCAATGATTGCGAAGGGTATAAATGTCAGCGGAACCTTTGCAACAGTGCAAAAAAGAATAAACGCCGACATTTCGAAGAGCAGCTCGCAGTAGCCGCGAAGACCGCCCGAAAGAGAATCTTTGCATACGTGAAGCGACGCCTGAAGCCGGCAGGTGATGTGCCAGTGCAAGATGGCACGGATGAACAGCCCCTAACATCCAGCAATGAGTGTGAGTCCGCGTTGGCGGCGCACTTCGCTTCTGTATTTGCGAATGACCAGGTGTCTGTTCCGAGTTCGACGTGTACCGCTTGTATCGAACTCGATAGTTTGCATTGCGGCGTCGAAGAGGTACGTCAACTACTCGTCAACGTTGACGGCACCAAACCTGTCGGGCCTGATGGGCTTCACCCACTGGTTCTCAAATCACTTTCGACCATCATCTCTCCTGTCGTGACTGACCTTTACAACAGGTCGCTGTCCTAAGGTTCGTTGCCAGTTGACTGGGAATGTTCGGTGGTGGAGCCTATTCCTAATAGCGGCGACCCTAGCAAAGTAGACAACTACAGGCCAATTTGTCTGACACCTATTTTGGCAAAGGTTCCTTAGAAAATCGTGAAGAAGAGATTGCTGCAGTTGCTACAGTCAAACAATGTCCTGACGCCCGCAAAACACGATTTAATGCAAGGTCGCTCATGCATTACGAACAGGCTTGTGACGAGGAATGAGTGGTTGAAAGCAATAAGCAAGGGGAAGTCTGTCGAGATGCTATTCATCGATTTCAGTAAAGCGTTCGACAAGGTCAGCCATGAGGTTCTCCTTCACAAACACAGAATGTGTGGTGTCAGTAGCTCACTGCACCGGTGGATCCGCGACTTTCTTGTTGGACAAAAGTGGAGGGTACAGGTCGACGACCGTCTAACTGACTGGTACCACTCTACAAGTGGCGTGCCTCAGGGCACTGTGCTGGGGCCAACTCTGTTCCTGATCTACATCAACGATCTGCCGCAGCTTCTCCGGTCACCGTTTGCCTCGTTTGCGGACGACATGAAGATTTGGAGAGAAATCGACGCTCCCGATGACTGTAGCCTACTTCACCAAGATCTCAATCACCTATCCACATGGTCCGCAGAAGTTCTTCTCCAGGTCAACCCAGCCAAGTCTGTATTTATGAGTCTGGGGAAGGATGCTAACGGCCGAAACTACACCCTTCACGGCCAAACGCTATATCCCACACCCTCCGTGAAGGACCTAGGTGTACTCTCACGCTACGATTTGAAGTCCGTGGAAAACGCAAACAGGCTATATCGTAACGGACTGCGCATGCTTTGGGCGCTCAAACGTAGCTTCGGCACATGGTCTGAAGAGGTTGCCACTCGCCTCTTCTCTTCCATCATTAGACCAATGCTAGAGTACGGTTCGCCCGCCTACTTTCCGATTACCCGAGGTGAGGCACAAAAGATCGAGCGGGTCCAACACGTTGCTACCAGGCTGATCCCGAGTTTACGTGGCTTTGGGTATGAAGACCGGTGCGAGAAACTAGGACTCTACACCTTGTCCTACCGTCGGGTGCTAGTCGACCTCATTATGACCCACCGTATTCTACATCTCGGTGACTTCCCAATGCTAAGGCCAATGCTGCACTTACGAGGGCCTTGCAGCACACGCGGACACAGATACAAACTTGTCGTGCCGGATGTGAAGCGAGTTCCCCACCCACTGTGCTTCGAACGGAGAGTGGTAAACATTTGGAACAGTGGCTGAACATGTGATTGAGGCAACATCTGTGCAACAGTTCAAAACGTTGTTAGATTTGTATTTTGCCACTATTCGATTCAGAGAACGACTGCACACTTACGATGACATATCACATTCGTGAATCCTGAAATATCGTAAGTCAGATATTTTAAATGTTACATTAGAACGACAACGATATTCATGGCTGACAACTTTTGGAAAGTTTTTCACCATATTTCGAAAGAGTTGTACAGAATTTATTTCTACTTGCTCTATACTAGAGTATTCAGTATTCAATTGTTGTAGTACCATAACAAACATCAATCGCACTGTATTCCCCCTTTGACCTCAACGCCACAATTGTGATCACCACATTTATAGCCAGCCATCGATGTCATAGCGAAGAATACGTAACAGTCACGTATAAAATTATAAAAAAACTCGGTGGTTTGGTAGCAGTAAATGACCAAATTGATGCAGGTATGACGGCCTAAGATGAGTAAATAGTCACAAGAAGTTAATACAATAGAATATACAATAATACAAGATACAACAAATAAACACAGTGAATTAATACGGCCAAAAGGAACACAAACAGAGGCAATACTGGAACGAACTCACGTGGTTAACAAAGAACCAAGATATCTTGAATCAATAATTGACGGAACAGAGTAAAGGTTTCTTACTCAGTCACTTTACAATACGCTTCCAAGCCATATTTATAGGTAAAAATTTCGTTTTTCAAATTTACAAAAGTTATTGATTGCTAATTTGGATTGTGTGACATCGAGTGCTTCGTACGTCCAGTTGTTGTATATTGAGACTCACCGTTACGCAAATAAGCCAACTTATTACACACCTCTGTATTTCTGTTATCGTCTGGCTTATCAACTGGCAACGGGGGTAACGGTTTGATTGGATACGACGAACTATGTCGTTTACAATGGAGCGACTAACCGCAATATTTCAACATCAACAGAAGCAATTTGAAGAAAGCCAGACACGATTGCTGGAAAATATATTTCAGCCTTTTACAGTTCAAGCAAGACGAACCAATGAAAAGCAGCAATCATCAGCGGATACGATTGTGAACAGCATTTGAGAGTTTTAGTATGACCAGGATACCGGCCTAACCTTCGAATCTTGGTTCAGAAGATACGAAGACGTTTCCCGGTCCGAATACACTGGTGCTGACGACGGATGGAAGTGCAGACTGCTTTAGCGGAAGCTGGGAACCAGGGAGCATGACGTTTCTCAATTTTGTTTTACCAAAATACCCCAAAGATTTTACCTCTGACCAACTTGTACCTCTGCTAAATGACATTTGTGGTGGACAGTCTTCCTTATTCAGCGTCCGATACAGCTGCATGAAGCTCATTAAGTGCGCGTCAGACGATATCGTAACTTATGCCAGTACCGTCAATCGTCATTGCGAGCGTTTCAAGCTAAAAGAAATGTCAGACGACCAGTTCAGGGCCTTAATATTCCTTTATAATCTCCAAGCGCCCGAGGATGCCGAAATACGCATGAGGCTGCTTAATAAAATTGTGCAGCACCCGTCTATCAATCTCATGTCCATCAATTCCGAATGCCAAAGGTTACACAATTTGAAGCACGACACGAATATGATTGTCCAAAGCCACAGTCCATGTCCCGTGGATGTGTTGGCGGTATCAAACCAGCGCGGGAGTACAGCGACGGTCCAAAACTCATTAAAGCCAAACAACGCCACTGAGGTCGGCTCCTTGCCATATCAGCAAGTGTATCCAGCCAAACGTGTTCACCGTCTTTTGGACCCCAACCAGGGAGCCGTGAAGCTCCAACTGAGGCCGGCTCCGAAGTGAGGGCCTTCATTCCTCTGGACCAAGTCATCGCTTGGCCACCCCTCCTCTTTTTCCATCCACATCCCCGGCGCGCAAACAACGCACGTCGCGGAAGTCGGTGGGCTGGCATGCGTAACACGTGGCCAAGCCATCGGAGCCTGGTTCGTGAAACGGCGGTGCTGAGCGGTTCACTTCCTTTTACTGTGCCATAAACACGGCGTAGAACACGCTCGTTGCTCACGCGGTGTTCCAACCAGATGTGAGCCAAACTGCGAAGGCACCGATAGTCGAACGTAACTAGCCTCTTTATGTCTGCTGCTTTAAGGGGCCAGGTTTCACAACCGTACAGTAGGGTCGAATGTACCGCTGCACTGGACACTCTACCGTTCAGAGCTAGAATGATGTCGCGCCGGCGCCGTAGGTGGCGAAGATTAGCAAAAGCACCTCGAGCTTTTGCTATACGGCTCGTGATCTCGTCTTCGATCCCAAGGGCGCTGATACAGTTATGCGATGTCCAATAGTAACGACGCCGTTTCACTGTGTTAGAACAAACGGCGTCCTTGACTTTACTTCAGTCAACAAATGTGACTGAATAGGCCACAGAACCTAAGCATCGATGGCCACACAGGGGAAGTGTGTAAATGAACTGTTATTCTGAGTCCAATACAATTATCTGCTCAGTTCTCTTCCGTTTAGCTGGTTGACTCGTCTCCCGGTTCAATTATGTTTACCCCTGTCACAGTGGTAGTATGTACAACCAGTTGACATTTGCTCGGGGTTTGCCTACTCCAGCCCATCCGATTATGTTCTGATAATTTGCATTCAGCCTTGTGTCTCGACCATGCCGTGTGTGTGTGTGGGCGGACTGATTCTTTGGGTTTCTACTTCAGCCCTCCGGATGAGGTTTCCTCCACTGTGTACCAGGTAATCACGAGGACCTCTGAAATTCTCACTTAACAACAGATTACACGTCATCCTTCAAACTCCTTCGATCCGTATGCTCCTGCGAAGATAACGTTAACAGTGTTGCATTGGTTTTTCGTATTATTTATCTTTTTCTGTCACCTACCGCCTTTTACCAATGTCGCTTTGGGTTTTCCGTCTACCGACTGTCGTTTGGTGTGTCAATTGATGCATCGGTTTGGACTGGACTTCTCATGGCCCACAAGTTTTGCCCCAGCTTTATTCATTTCGCAGTAAGCTACCCTCCACAACCCTTTTTATTTGCTATACGATGTGTGCAGATCTCCGTGAGTAGGCTATAGCCTTTTTTACATCCCCACCTGTTTCACAGTGAACTACTCACTTTTACTCCCTTCAAGGAATTGATTAGCGTTGTTTCCCACTGCTGCTGTAGACGGAACCCTCTGTCGGTGTCAAGATTATACGTTGTAAGAGCTGTATGCTTCATTAACACGGTTCTTAACAGTCCTTACTCCCTCCGAATGCGTACTTCACTCATTAATCTGACTACACGGCCCGATTCTGTGAGATGTGTCTACCCTATCTCTTTGGTCACCACGAGACGCAGTCACAGGAGTTTTGGCCCGCCGACTTTCTCCTTCCTTATTGTTATTAACTCTTTTGTGTTACTTTTTCCCCTTAGATTCGAAATGAGGTGAACAAGTTTGAAATCTTTCACAGTGGTGCTGATTTGTCTTCCCATCGGTAGCGACGCTTCTCTGCAAATTCTCCTCGGTCTCCTTATGGACACGATCGGCTAGCTGAAAATTTATGCCTCCTGTGTGACCGGTCTGTGCATTTTATCAGGCATCATTTTTACGCTCCTTGTCCTTCACCACTTTTTAGTTGACCTTCAAACTTCCAACAGACCGTGTATATATTCATGCACAGGAGTCAATCCGTCACATTCGTGGTTTGCCCACTGATTTTTACACGAATACATTTGCTACGGGCTCCCTTGTCTCTGGTTTCTTACTTGAATGAATTGTCCCTTTGTTGCCATCGTTTCTTTCAATTGGATGGGGTTCTCTGTCCCTTCAATCGGACGATATCTATTCATTTATCCCGTGGAGCTCTACCATCTTTTGCCCCGAAGACATACACATTAGTCTCACGTGACTCTCTATTAGTCGAAGAGTGTACGGCTCGTTATGCCTTCTTTTTAAGTGTCTCTCACATAGCCCTTGATCATTAGAAAGTGGTTTACACCATCAGTTAGCGTCGACGCGTTTTTCTTCGCTGAGGTAATTCTGCTCGCTTCTTCCGTCAACAAGACGTGCACATTGATCCATTCTCCCGCATTCCTCCTAGCTCAACGCGATCCGGTGTTCGCCCCTCAGTGTGTCCGACGACGACTTGACTGCGTTAGGTCTTCCTGTGGCAGTCACCAGCAACAAATGACCGCAGTGCGATGGGTGGTTCTTCATCTCTACTACACCTTTCGTGTATACCGGTTTGTCAGCTACCGCGGGGAGTACAGCAGCCCGATTTGGTTTCTTTGGGGAATCACTTTGTAAACGACCCTGCCACACATCCTACACCAGTATGCGTGGATAGGCGATTCTGTTTTACATCAGTGTGTGCATGTGTGTTGCATTCTCGTGTGAGGACAAATAAAAAAGCAAGATATTTAGCCGAGCTGAAATATCATCATGGATTGGTTAGTCAGGGGTAAGACAAGTGCTTGCACACACACATTTGCTATCTCCTCGTTTACCGTCTTGATTGGGCTGTTGGGCCACCACTCCTCGGGTGGGTATCGCTCAGTTTTCGTCTGCTTCAGTTACGGTCCCAATGATCGAATCGATCAAGGTTCAGCAATTGGAATTACGGTCCACGTTGAGATTGCGCGTCGCAATTTATTTTCACAATCTTCACTTTAAAATGGTCCTCCAATCAGTTACTAACCGTGGTACTAAGCGCCGCCCGCCTTGATCCGGTGACTACAAGAGTAGAGGTCGCGTTTAAGATTCGAGTGGTCCCTGGTTCGAGGCCTGCTATCTCCAACTATTGTAACAAAACAAGGTCGAAACGCGTCGTGGAGTTCAATGTTATTGAATGGCCAACACTCAATATCTATCGGTTGTCCAGTAATTTCACCAAGTATGATGATTAAACGGCTGACAGAAATGCTTGGTACATAACGTCACTATTCATACAAATGTACAAAAAAATTAGGGTGAAACCGATCGATGATTGATACCTAACATAGTCTATCCATGCAGTCGACCGGTTACATCAAAGGTAAATTTTTGTCTCCCTCACTGAACCGCTAATGAACTGTGTAATTTGAGCCAATGGGTCGATTTTAGTTCCTTCTTTTGCCCTAAAATACGATTGTAATTGTCATGAACAGAATCATCGAAAACGATTGTTCACATATGGTCTCGTGTTTCTTAACAAATAATCTGCCTGATTACAATTCCTTGCAGGGCTCAGTCAACGCTTCTGAGCAGTTTATGGGTTTCGTCATCGAACTAACCAATCCTATCCTCGACTGTATACTGCAGGAATATTTATAGTATCACTCCCCTCTTAACTACATTCCTTCCAAGCCGCATTTTTGACTGATCCAAGACCACCTCGTTGTTGGCATCCTGGAGTTGGGCTAAAATTTGAGTCCCCCCCCAACTGCGCATGCTTGCGCATAGATGCAGGTCTCCGTTAGCTTTTGGCTACCTGATTTTGCCAAGGGTCGTCTTGGCCAGATTCGACTTGACAGCCACCACATATCTGGGGACGCGACAGACGGCCATTTCGCCTCACCCGACGTTGCTAGAAGCTCGCAGCTTCCCTGAAGGACTCGAACTTGTGGCTATCCACTCCGGGGACTGGAGACATGAGTGACAGGGACGACTACCACAGTACTAGCTATAATCTAGTGTAGCCCATATTCCATTAACATGCATGTCACAGAATTTGCCTTCCTACTCACGACTTCCCTTGCCATTATACGATGAACCTTATGAAAGGCCTACTATTCTCTGCTAAACGATTTTTTTGGCGCCAAATAGACTTGGAGACTACTTCGAGAACGAAATGGTGATCTTTCCGGTGCAGATGTTGGGTTACGTTTTTCACAAGGTGGCAAATCAACTGCCAGGAAGAATATCCAATGTCACAAACTGCTCGAGAAATCAAAATGTGCTTACAGACACAGTTTAACTTTGCAGTAGCTTAAAATAACGGCAAGTGCAAATACTACTACTAAGTAGCGAAATTATTCAACTCCGTGAGGCAGGATATAACTCGGTGACGGCATGGCTGTGACCTAGTTGAATTCCGAGGCAGCTGCCCAGGAAGTCCGGATCTGTGGCTACTCGTGCTTTCCGGTGCAACTGAATATCAAGCGATTGTGGCGGTGTGTTGCAATGCCCTCGGTGCTCGTTGTGCGAGAGGCTGGTAAGAACCCACCGTGGTGAAGATGGTCTATGCGAGAAATTGGTGTGTGCGATCTAACAGAGACGCGGTAAACGGTTCATGGGTGTAGCTTATAGCAGTCCGAGTAGTCGCTGCTTGGATTGCGTGCCGTATGTCCGAAAGCACATGAGTCGTCCTTGGTTTCTACCCATGGGTGATTTTAACTTAACACGAGGACTCTGGCTTGAGGTTCGATTACTTCGCTGGCATTGTGAAGTTAAGGCAGTGTTTGCGGAGATGGTATTCGAGAATGGGACAGCGAAACACATTCGCCAACCGAACCGCATTCAGCCTTATCGTGCGTGGACCTGATATGGACTCGCTGCGAACAGTTTATGCATGATGTTCAATTGCTGGAGCCATTGGCAACCGAATGATTATTTAGTGGTCGTAGGCAGCCTTGATCCTTCGCTGCCATACTCGCGTCCACTGAATTCATCCTACAACTCCTGCGAACCTGATTCCGATATTCTCGCTATAGTCGCTAGTCTGGCAGACTGCTCGCTTCCGCAATGTTGATCTGTTATGAAAGTGGGCATGGAATCGTTGTGTGGTCTTTTGTATCCCTTACTTATCGTAGGACTGGGCCAATGAAGCCACACTGTCTCGATAAGGAGCATAGTCTGTTGGCTGAATGTCGGCACGAATTGTGGAATAAATTCCTCCTTTCTGGCTCTACCGACGATAACGTGTACCGAAGGTAGCGGAATCTACGTAACAATGCGAAAGCAGAGAAGCACAGGCAGTTTGAAGAGGGGATTGTGACCGGAGCGAAGATTGCCCCCAAGAGCATTTTGCTTACGTTAAATGGCGCCTGAGAGCTACAGGCGACGTAGCAGTGTTACAGGACTCCGACAAATAACTTCTGACTACCCGAAAATTTACAGTTTCCCCACCATCAGTACGCCGCTATGACTCAACGCCAGCGGACTTGACTTGTGGATAACTATCTAGACGAATATGGATCTTCAGGCCTCTTAACCTACAGAGGCGGGGTAGTATCCGCCTCGGACTCGCTTTATCAACGAAAGTGACTCGCATGGATCGAGTCTTCCACTCATTTCCCCAAGACGCGTGATTCGACACCTCAGGTGATTCAAGTCTCCCGGCTCGGACAAACTTACTTCGGTGATGTTCAAGTTTGCTCAAGTAGTTAACATCCCTATTTTCCAAGATATGGAACGAAGTGAAGATTCCATCCTCCTGGGGTGAGTCAATACTTGTCGCTATTTTCAAGAAAGGTGCTCGCACATCATGTGCTAATCACAGGGGAATCAGTCTCATGCCGGTTGCTTCCAAACTGCTGGCATCCATTCTGCTCTGCAGACTATCCCCGATCCGCGAGTTGTTTTACCGAGAAGAACAGGCTAGCTTCCGCCGCGATCTAGGATGTGTGGACCAGATCTTCACACCGCCAACCTCTTGAACATCGCCATCTCTACCACAGACCAACTATTGTCGTTTTGCTGGACATTCGCGCTGCATTTAACTCGGTTGACCTGCCTGCTTGATGGCACTGTTTGCCAAGAAATGGAGTCCCTGAAAAGAACACTTCAATCACTCGGGGGCTTTACTTCCAAGTGTCAGGTAGAGTGAAGGTCTATGCGAATCTTTCTCCATCCTTCGCTATCTCCAGTGGTGTATGACAGGGGTGCCCTTTGTCTCCATTCCTCTTCAATTTTGCAATTGAGGACGTACTGTTGAGATTCCTGAACGCCCCCAACATCTTGATGTTGAGCTTCTTCCTGCTAATCGCTTGACCGACTTAGATTATGCTGATGACATCGCTCTGCTCGGTGAGGATTCACAGTGTACGACCCATTTTGTAGTGTCCAAGTATGGTATGTGCTTTTCCCCCTTGAAGTGTAAGGTGCTACTTCAGGACTAGAAGTCGTCTGCTCCCTTACTTACCGTTGAAGAAACACAGCCAGAGCTTACGGACAATTTTGTCTACCTCGGAAGCTGTATTTCAGCCGACGGCACTATTGGGAAAGTGCTATCTCTTAGCATCTTCAAAGCCCGGTCGGCATTTACCAACTTGAGTCCTTTTTAGCGTCGTCTGGATATATCTCCCTCCTTAAATAGTAGGATCTACAGCACTTGTCCGATCGGTCCTGTTGTACGGAAGTGAGTCCTGACCGGTTCGTGTGAATGACACGCGTAGGCTTTCGGCCTTCCATACCACATGTTCGCGGCAAATAACCTGTGTGTGGTGGCAGCACCGGATTTGCAGCAATGAAGTCCGGTGTCGAGTCTTGGGAAACGTGAGCCCTCTTCTTGATCGCCTTA